CCCCCCCAGAGTGGCTGGACAGGCCCAAGGTGCGCCTGCCAGGGCTGCGTTCAGGTCATGGGTGCGGAGCCTCTGGGGCTTCTTCACCTGCTCTTCCCCTCCCCCTCCCACTCCACACCCAGGACTCGCCCTGTCCCAAGGCTAGGCGAGGAGCACCTGGTCTAGTGGTGCACCTACTGCGATTCCATGGAGTAGATGCCACACGCACACATGCGCGCTCACACACACACTACACCCAGCGCTGCCCACACCTCACTTGGGGGTTAAGGGCTGCAACTCTCTGCCACCGAGGGTGCAGGATGGGCCAAAGAGATTCACTGCCTTGATGCCAGTGGCCAGCCCCAAAGAGGGTCACCTAGTGTCTAGGTTGGCTGGGTCTTTTCCCATTCTGTCTGCTGCAAATCCAGTTTCTGGAGAAACTGCTTTCTCCATTTGGAGCCTAATCCTTTGGGCTTGCCTTTTTCCTGTGAGTGGTGGGCTGTGGATTTGGTAGCATCAACTGGGTCCCAGGCACTATTGGAAAGAAGGAGGGAGTGGCTGCACTGCAGGCAGATGGCCCACTGGTCTGTGTGCTACTGACTGCTGTGCCAAACACATTCTAGCTTCCTGTTGGCAGGCTTGTCCCCAGTCACACAGGAGGGCCTTGTGGTTGTTGCTCATGGGGGGCTCATCTACCCAACCAAGTCTGGGTTGCCCCCTTGTACTGGGTGTGGCACAGAACTCTTCATATGACCTTGGACCCCACATAGGATGGTGTGTTCTGCTTGTCTACCTGCTAGTTGTCCAGAAGGGACTTAGTTGTCCAGTACAGGCCTAGTAGTGATGTCCCTTAAGGATTTTTCCCCGGTCAAACTTCCCACAAATGTTCATAGGAGTTATTTCATTACCTCTCACCAGAACCCTGGGAAGTAGGTATTAAGATTATCCTTATTTAACTCATGACTCTCAGAGAGTTAAGGCACATGTTCAACGTTATGTACCTTATTGAAGGTAGAGCTGAAATTAGATCCTAAATTGTTCCCCTAGCCCATTTAGTAGACATTTATCCCCTAGTGGCTTTATCCACATTAGAACTTCCTTCTGTTATGTCTGTTCACACACAACCGCTGTCACATTTACAAGAAAAGGAAATTGGCTCAACTTCAGATGTGCAGGTTTCCTTCTGCTCAATCATGTAGGGAAATGGCAAAATTGTCTTCCTCTAAAAGTAATGATTTCACTTTCTATGGCATATGGAATGGGACCTTCTCAGGATCTTTGAAAGTCTACCATGTGTGTCTTTTTCCTTAAAAACATCTCAGAAGGTACTCAGCATCCATCTCTCATAAAACACTTGGTTGCCAATTTCTAAATCAGCTTTTTGTGATTGTAGAAAAGGAATGAAATAGCATGGTGATCTGAAAGACCTCATCCTGGCCTGAGTTTTGATACTCTGAGGACTCCACTATATACTGAACTTACAGAGGCAGAAAGTGAGGCTAAGGGAAGGGACATGACCAGCCCAAAGTTGCACAGTGAAGAAATGGCCAAGTTATCAGACCTCAAGGCAAGATGCTCAGTACAGCCAAGGCAAACAAGGCATCTGGAAATTTTCTGGAAAGAGCAATGTAAAGGTCCCATCCAGGTGCAGTGAGCCAGATGTGTGGATGTCCTGGATGTCTGAAAATAATGATTTGGGGACACTAGGGTTGAGGTGATAGTTTTAATATGTTCAGTTTTGGGGCCCTTTTGTAATTGGAGTTAACCTTTATCCTGGTTTGGAGGCCCCTTTACTCTGTGCCCAAAGGACAGAGAAGAATATTGTCTCCTCTGCTCAAATAGAAGACCCTCAAAGCCAGTAAAAATGTCCTATTTGCCTTTATGTCCCCATCACCTTTCATGGTAGCTAGCACGAACTGACAGATAAATGTCACTTACAAAATGGAAAGTGTAATAGAGAGTGAAGGAGGCTACCTCCCCAGTGTGGCCTTTCCCTGGCTTAGACCAGTAGTGTCAGTGTCAACCAGGGGGCAAATTCCTGGGCCTCACTTCTGGAGAGTTTGATCTGCTGGGTCTGAGACAAACCTGGGAATTTTTTATAAGAGCTTCTGGTGATTATATACTTAAAAAAATACATTTTGCACTACTTAACACACAGGGTATAAAGAAAAGTGCAACCAATACTTCTATAGTAGTACCTAAGACATAAAACACTGCCAAAGAAGTTAATCCCTTTGCACACTCCTTCCAATTGTCTCCCACTCTCTGCCCCATAGAGGAAAGCATTTTTCTGCATCTGCATTTTTCATACTTCCACTGCAAATAAATATATCCTTAAACAATTGCTAATATTGTATTCTCATGCTTTAAACTTTATATAAATGGTGTCATGTTTTCCAGGTTCATCTATGTGATAAGTAATCATTATGTTTGTGGGGATCACCATTTTGATACATGCAAGTCTGTTTCATCACTTTTCACTTCTGTATAGTATCTCATGATGGGAGTGTGTCTGTGCCAAATTTATCAATTTTCCCATTGACAGATATTTAAGTTGCTTCATATTTTTAGCTATCACAAACAACGTTGATCTAAATATTCTTGGAGAGTTTTACTAGGGTATATATCTAGCAGTGGTATTGCTGGGTCAAAGACTATCTTCAGTTTTAAGAGATATCACTAAATTGTTTTCCAGGTTGCTGTACCAATTTATACCTCCATCAGTCCTTACATCATCACCAACATTTCATATTATGTGGCTTAAATGTTGACAATTCAGAAGGATGTCAATTGTTATTTTATTGTGCTTTATTTTTAGTTGCTCTGATTATAAATGAGGTTTAATACTGTAGTTAGGGGGCCATTTCTGATTTCTTTTATTTGAAATTCTTAATAACACCGCCCATTTCTTAGTTGAGGTTTCTCCATTTTTAGGCTTCATAGAATTTCTTCATATAATCTGGATACTTCTCCCGGTTAAGTTACTACTGCTGTGTAACCAATTACCTATAACATACTGGCTTCCAACAACCATTTTATTCTGCTCAAAATTTTAAAGTCAGAAATAAGGGTAAGTTTACTTGGCAGTTTTCTTTTGGGGTTTCTCATGTGGTTGCAGGTGTAAGCTGGGAATTTAATGATCTGAAGGCTTAACTGGTCTGGATACCCAAGATGGCTCACTTAATGGCTGACACTGAGGCATGCTTTTGGTACTCATAGCCATGAGCATCTTAATTTTTACAGACACCTAGAATTCAATAGCTCCTCTGAGCTCCATTCTTGGGTCAATGAAGTTTTTGACAGGAACTATAAGAAATTTCTGTGGGAGCCTGGCTGGGCATGGCTCAGCTGTTGAGCATCGACCTAGGATCCAGGCGATTGGGGTTCGATTCCTGGTCAGGGCACATGCCCAGATTGAGGGCTTGATCAATGACTCTCTCATCATTGATGTTTCTGTCTCTCTCTCTCCCTCTCCTTTCCTCTCTCTGAAATCAATAAAGATATATTTTAAAAAAGAAAAAGAAAAAAAATTTCTGTGGGAGAATACATAGGTGAACAGAAATTACTCCCCTTAATTGTTTAAGATTGTCATGGGTTGAATTGTGTCCTCCCAAAATTCATATGGTGAAGTTTCAAACCCCAGTACCTCAGAATGTGACCTTATTTGGAAATAAGATCATCCATTGCAGATGTAATTATTTAAAAGTTATGCAGTTGATATTTTAATAGGGATTATG